GTCGTGGTCGTGGTCGTGGTCGTGGTCGTGGTCGTGGTCGTGGTCGTAGTGGTAGTGGTAGTGGTAGTGGTAGTGGTAGTGGTAGTCGTAGTAGTAGTAGTAGTAGTAGTACTAGTAGTAGTAGTAGTAGTAGTACTAGTAGAAAAATGCACAAGCGAGGTAAATTTGCAAGTGCACAAGCGAGGTAAATTTCAAGTGCACAAGCGAGTGCTCGCCCTTCTGGGAAGCCTTTCAGCAAGATTTGTAAGCTGACTGGTTCGCCGACCTGTTTCAGGCACACTTCAGTCCCTGGTCCATGTTGATGTCCATTAAGCTACCCCGTCATCCCACGAGATTTCCAAGACCAGGTTGAAAGTGGAACGACTACAATTGCAGGTACTGCAAACCACCTCAAAACGCGGACAGCACGACACCATACGACACCCATGGACACCCTAAACCGTCCGAACTCGCTGCACCACAAAAGGCAGGAGGTAATCTTGGTACTTGGTACCATCATTTTCTCCAAAGGAAGTACCATGCCACTTCGACACAAGAAGTCCGACTCCCAGCCTCAATCAGGCCTCCTAGCAGGTTTCCATGCTCCGAGTGCATCTTGGCATCTTCCAGGTCGTGCACCCGCTGGGCTTTCTCTCGCCGAGCCCAGAGCATGAAATTGACCAAGTAGAACATCATGGCCAGGATGAGAATGAGACCCAGAATGCAGGCCCAAATCGGGAGCTGGAAACCATGAGAATCCTGAGATCCCGGCTTTGCCGCCGAAGTCAATAGAGACCAGCCCTGCAGAACCAACGCTTTGCCCGTCGCATCCAGACCTTCCAGGTCCAAAGCGGCCGTGTGGTTGGCCACCTCCAGCTGCACTTGCAACCACGAGGCTGCAAGCTCCAACGGTTCCTGCCACCAATGGGCAGGTGGTGCCACCGGTGGTGAGAAAAAACAACGAAGCGTCCGGAATTCTGGCCCCGTTGGGTCATGTTGAAACAATGCCATGACGACGAAACGTTTCAAGACAGGGCTCGGTTATCGTCATTTGCCCTCAGCCCGGCCAGCGCTGCATGGCCCGGGGGAGTAGGCGAGCGCTGGAAGGCGCACTCACCGTCTGAGCCCCATGTGGAAGTGAGTCACATTGACCAGCAGGCGTGGTGGGTGGTGGACCTTTCTAGAAATCGGTTGGGGGAGAAATACCGGGGTGGGATGGCGCCCAGTATGCGCATCTCTCGCATCTCTGGCATCTCTGCTCATTCGAATCATTGCAACCTTACAACTGCGAAGGTCTGATCAAGGGCTACCAAGTTTGTGGGTCCCGAGCAATGCCGACCCACACCGCGGGGAAAGCCAGGCGTCGCGAGGGCCAATGGGCTTGGCCAGGATGCGGCAGAGAGCTTCGGAGGCTCCAGAGGTGGAGGGAAGGCCTGGCAGCATGATTCAAAGACGACCTCCACCACCTGGAAATGACATCTGGTAATGTTTGGTGGTAGGTCCAGGTCTGCTCGAATCTCCATTTCCGGTCTTCAGCGTGGATTGGGCAATCTGCAGGTTCCGTCAAATTTTTGGCGTCAAAGAGTTGGTAGGGTAGTCCCGTCCTGGAGCTGGGAAATGGTACGCACGGAGGTGACATCACCATCCAGGTCGGCAGGCATCTTCAAGACAAAAGCTGGAAACTCAGTATCACAGCATATCACAGCATATCACAGGTCTCTCATGGTCCCCTCTTCACCGACATCTCCATACCGACATCACCGTGGGTGAAAGCCAAGAACCCCCGTCCCACCTCTCCGCTGCGCTTGTCGTTCCAAAGCCGCACCTTCGGATGCAGGCCCCGTCCCTCCCCGCCAGGCTGTCGGCCGCACGGGGGTGAACCACCCCGCACGGCCGCGCGTGCCCGTGTCGTTTTTGAGTGAATTCACGCCGTCAGCCGGTAGGTAGGTCCATGGTCAGCGATCCTTCAGTGCGGTGCACTGAAGATATTCCCCTAGAAAAATGGATCCATTCCACCACTGGCAGCTTGTTCATCCAAAAGCCCTCCCCAGCTCCCAGCGGCCCCCAGCAGTTCCCATCTCCAGACCTACAGCATCCACCGGCGTTTCCCACTGGCCCGGCAAAGCGCTGGAGGCCTCGATCGCATTCGACCGCAGCGATGCGCCAAACATGCGGAGAGTGAACGGAAGTTGAGAGTGGCCATATATATATATATGTATATATACACTGTATATATAACACACATGAGAAGTACCAACAAAATGGACTGTGAAGTGCAGGAATGCTTCTGGTAGTTCGGCCGAACTTCACCATCAACTGGGTGTAAGCATGTCACTCAACAAAAGATGAGCCCATCTCTTTTTGCCCTCGCTTTTTCCGTCTCATTCCTTCGCAGTATGCACCGGACAAAAGTGCGTCGCCGGAAACCAGCCAGCTACTTGAACTCCATGAAATGCTCTGGCCGTTCATTCGGGAAAAGAACGTCACCCTTCACCCTTCATCTGCCGCCGTGGGACTGAATCTGCATCGCAAACACACCGAGCGTCCTGACACAGTCTGGTTTCGCTTCCTTGGATTCTCCCCCGGAATGGAGCTACTATAGGATTGGATTGGGTGGGCACAAGTGGCGTGCGATCTTGTGATACAACGAGAAAGTCGTGAACAACATTCTTTGGCAAACCAGCGCACTCCCCCCAAAAGGAAACGTGGTTGAGGTGTCTCCAAATCAAGGCGTCCCCGGCCTTTAGGTCCCTTCACTTTGCTATGTCATTGCTTGGGGCATGAAAACCAAGTGTGCGTATATGTTCATAATTACACGGCTATTGCAGCTGTTGGTTCCCAATAGTCTCTTTCACCATTCCTGTGTCGCAGGGGGGTTGCTTCTGCTTCAACGTCTGCAGGAAGCTGGTCTCTGCAAGCAACGTGCAAGGAGTGATATGTTCAAATGAGGCCATGCCCTAGAGCTCCATGCATGGAACATCCACTTATACAGACACGTTAACCCAAAAATAACCATCCCAATGTAATGTAGGCAAACATTCGGACATATGCTCAACATGGAGCGTCTGGGTTTGCAAACATCTGACACAACACAACACTCCTGGACAATGTCTCTTGCTCTGGGCTTTCTGGTTTGTACTGCCGCTCCTCCAACATCTCCTGCACCAAAGACTTCAGATTTGCGTCCTTGGAGTGCTCGATGCACCTTAGGCGGTTCATCAGGACGCCCAAAAAGGCCTGCTACCTCTGAGCCATGCCAATCAGAACATGTGTAGTTCATTCTTTTGTGCTGGTGTGCCGCAACTAGATTGCTAAACAAAGCAAACTCAACATTTGGAGGGTGTGAATACAGGCAACTAAGCCAGGTGGAATGGCACTAGCAGCTGGATTCGGTGCAGACTCTGCTGAGATCTGGAGGCCAAATTCGACGGCAAACATCTGGAAACCCCCTGAACGTCCACGTTTGCCAGTGGTTTTTGAGGTTCCACGTTCGATGCCGCGAGGGGTTTGGGAGGGAATTTTCAGGTCCTTCTCCCGGCCCCTTTTCTGGCCAATCCTCCTTGGCCACTCCGCTTTTCTCCGCTTTTCCTGTGACACACACAGCTCCGTAGACCACGGAAGCCCTCTTGGAGGGTCACGTGGCACCCAGGAGGAAAGCCACCGAGATCCGTGGGCCCGTCTCGAAGCCAGCCATCTTTGGGATGCCTGACATCTACAGGGGGCTTAAGCTGGTGCTTAAGCTGCATACTTGGTGTGGCACTTCAATGTGGCGCCCTGCATGCTTGTCAGGGGCAAGCTCTTTGTGTGTATATAAATATAAATATACACACACACACACACATACATATATATATATACAGTATAACCCTTGTCGCAAAAATGGGGATGATTGGCGCTTGAAAGTCTGACATACACAAATGCAGTCATTCCCAACTTTTGTTTAATGTATTTGTTCAAGCGCTGACTAGGGTTTCCCCTCACCTCACCAGTTGTCTCCAAAAAAAGGAGGAAAAGCGGTAACGAAACACAACAACATGACTAGTAAGGTTTGATGTAAGACGACCCGGAGCAAGAACGGGAACAACAACATCAACAATCATGAAAAAGCAATACACTGAGAAGGAACGAAAGCGTGCTTCTCTTTTCTTCTAGCGTCCATGGGTGTGATTCTGATTCCAGCGGGCATTGAAGAACATAGCGTCTCCACTCCTCAGCCAACGATCCTCTTGTCGCCCCTGGCAGCTGTCACCACATCGCTTGAGGGACGAGAAGTTGTCAAACATGCTGCACAAGCGACAGAGCCGACTGGAACCCAAGGAATAGCAAACCTGAGCTGGTGGCAAGGTGGCAAAGCATCGGGAAACCAAGGATGAGTTGCAATGGCCATCTTAACCTTTTGCCTGGGCCTAGGCACGTGCTAAGTCACATCCAAATCACCAAGGCTGCTCTGGATTCGGAATCTGAGCTATCCAAGATCCACTGCTGTGGGTGTTGTCCTAAAATGGTTGCACAAACATCCCCGGTGCTTCCTGACCACCGGATCCACTTGTAATACAGTATGTGAGTCAAATGAATTCATTGGGAGGGTTCCAGGTTCGCAGTTCAGCCTAGCCGCCGTGCCCACACACTCGCGGAAGGAGCACGCGCAGTTGGGGCCAGCTCGCTGCTTGGCCGAGTAAACATCTCCTTATTCTGCTTGTGTTCTTTTCCATCTTTTCCGATGATGAGGTGAGAGTAGAAGCTCAACGGATCAACTGCATGTTTACTGTAAAAGAAAGCTTCAGTGTCTGGCCAACCTTCTAGCTTGGCTTCTCCAAAAACAGTCCTAGCGCCTTCAAAAAACAGTCCCCACCGAACATTCATGAACATTCGTCCGTTCGTTTGCCTACTTCACCGAGTTCCGGTGAGAAAACATCCAGCTGAGACTCGATGTTGGTCGTGAAAGGACTCCCCATCCCGGTGGAAGTTCACTTGCACCGCCGAAACGAAGCCCCCGTAGGTCGTCTCGCTGGCCTCGACAAGTAGAGAAGCGGGCTTCGTTTAAAAAAGCATACCCGAGAGGTTCTACATTGAAGCCCTCAGTGGAAAGAGTAGATATTTTGCATCTGAAAGTGTCAAACCATGTTGTCCGTGTTCAATTGCTACTTGAAATTGCTTGTGACTGTGTCATATAATGAATGAAGGCATTACGGGGTGGAGGGGGAAGTCGAACTAAAAAGCCAAAAAACTGGGGTAGGCAAACATCACCGGTGGATGAGTCTTTCAGAAGGCCCTTCAGCTTTTGAGATTAATCCAATCAACTTGATAGCTTGTGATGTGAGTGACTGGGCAATAGGCAGTGTATAATCCCTGTGAATAACTTGCCAATCACCGCGCAGTGTAGACAAAACATGAGACACCCGAACACCCAACATATAGTATAACCACAGCAACACCTAGTTCACGTTTGCAAACACTCTCGTGCTGCAGAACTTGCTTCACCAGGTTTGAAAGCCCATCTCGATCCATTCTGATCCAAACCCCTTCTACTTTTGATGGAGGCCCACCCAGCACTCCGCACACCGGACTCCACCCACCGCACGCCTCCACAAGCTTCAACATCATCTGAGCACAATGCTCTTGCCCTGCCCCTTCCAAGGTTCGCACCAAGGAATTCACCGACTGATTCCTAGGGCGAACCCGAGGCAAAAGAGGCACCCTGACCGGTGAAGAGACGCCGTGGGAGACCGGGAAGGAGGATTTGGCGAGACCCACGGCACAAACAATCCATACACCGATGTAAAATAGGATGGCACAACTGGGAATCCACCAAGAATATACCTCTCTGACGTACGGCCGGTCAGAGAGGGTTTGGAAACAAAGACTCCAAAGGCACTGACGTGCGGCCAGGTGTCCGGTCAAAGGCACTGAAAATCAATTTGCCACCAGCTGGCCAAACCGAACCCTCTTCAGAGGCCAAGGCTGCCTCGGGATTTCCCATCGAACGTTGTTGCTCAATTAATGTCATCGCTTCCAATCGAGGACTCTACTGACTCAAGGGAGATAGTCACTCGAATTACTAGAACTGTTGTCACCTCAGCAAATTGAAATGCGCCACCTCCACCAGCTTGTCAAACAGCAGCCGATCTGAACCAGGCCCCAAGTGAGCATCCACCGCCTGCGGTGTGATGCTGAGGATCTCGCCAGGCAACACCTAGCAGGGCCAAAGGCAGAGCAACAGGAGAAGGATGGAGGATGCTGACTGTGAAACTGAAATGCTTAAGTGCCGTGAAGGGTAGAGAGGTGTTCTCCTGGGGAATCAGAGGTCGAACACATTGATGGCCATTCTGTAACGGATCATCCATTCGTCAAGGCTGGAAACAAGTGGAAACCCAAGAATTGCAACACCTGGTCAATCAAACAATATTCACGATAGTGGTGATATTGGTGTACATTAGAAGTTCGCACTGTGAAACACCTGTGGTCTGTGGTCCTGTCTGCAACGAATGTCAAAAGTCCCCCACCTCATTGCTGGAGCAGTGAGTGTTCGGGCAAGGCTGCTCTGTATCGGAGCTTATCGGCCGTGTGATGAGGTCCCAGCTCATTTGCCGCCTGCCGGGCTGCTATGGCTGCTATGCAAACACAACCTCGTTCTATTCCAAAGCACCGTGGTGGGAAATGTTGCCCACTCCATCCACCTCTGGACCATCAACCTCACCACTGCGGTGCTATCTACTATCCCGCCTCAAGTCTTCTTTCCCACACCCTGTGGCCACATGCATCCGTTGCTTTCGCATGAGCTTCAGCTTCTCCTCCGCCCGCTCCAAGTATTCCAACTCCACCGCAGCCAAGCGTGCCTTCGTGACCTGGCCAACCCAGAGGGTGTGAAAATGGCCAACGAGACGACTGGTTCCTCCCCAAACCCATCGTCTGGAGACAGAAACAGAAACATCCACATCTGGAGACGATAGGTCTTTGGGTGCAAAGAGTCCCAGGCAGATCCTTTTCTGACTGACGCCGGCCGCACCTGTGCAAAGAGCTCATCGTAGTTGTCGGCCTCCTGGGCATCTGACAGCGCCTGCTGCTGACAGGAGCGTTTCACCTCGGCCGCGGTGGCATCTCTCAACTGGACGAAGAAGACCTCAGTTGTTGACGAAGGGCATGGTCTGCTGAGCATGGCTTGTGTTTAACATGTAAAATTGATAGGATCCTACTGCAGCAATGTCCAATGACGTGAAGCGTGGGCACGGGGATGTTCGGATCCTTCGCAGCTCATTCCCGTGATTCCGCGCCTGGGCCCATCTGGTGGGTCATCCAGGTGTCCAGTGTCTGAAAAGTTGTTAGAATCCACTCATTCGTGGTTTCATTTATCAAATCCAACCTGAGGGTGAGAAAATAAGAAAGACAATCGCCAAGAAAACAACTCGGAAAGGCATTGCCCTTGAAAACTCCGAAACCATGTTTAACTTGTGTGTTTTCAACGGGCCATGTCCATCTCTCAACATGTGCCTGTTATAGAAGAATGAGGGAACGCCCAATGGAATTCTTGAGTCCAGGGTTGTTGGGGTCTGTGGGGGATATCTCATCACATCCCAATTAATTCCGGAGAATTTGCACAACGGCCACACCGAGCTGCTCCGCCCGACAGCTCCAGATCTGCTGCTCGACCCGTGCTGGGGCGCTCCGCGGAGCGGCGCCAATCCCAGTGCGGCGTGGCCAGAGCGGTGTAGCGCCAACGACCCGCTGAGCCAACGAAGGTGGAGCCAGCTTTGGTGTGAGCCACCTTGTTGAAACTGAGTTGTGAAGTGGAGAAGTCCAAGGAGAACTGAAATCAAAGAGAACTCTAGATGCACAATGAATGAATTCATATATAATCATGAATTATATATGTATATGATATGTATATATAACACTATTATATAACTTATAACTTATAACCATGACATGTTCTTGCAACTCTGGGGTTGTAAGAAACACGGTCGCAATGGATCATCTGCATCTCATTACGTCTCTATATAATGCTAGGCACAGCCCATGGAATAGGTGCGAACTGTTCCAAGCGAAGCTCACCCTCTGTCTGATTTCCCTGAGCTCCAGCAGGCAAGGTATAGGTGATTTGCTCCATGCTGCTTGCAGCACAGCTCAGCACTCCATTTGCCTTGATCTCACTACTGGAC